AGGCATCAGATCTTCTTGGCGGATTATTTTCAATTTTTGAAGAGAAATCGCGTGCTCAGTCACTTCCAACACCAAACTTTTCCTATAAACCACAAGAACAAGTTAACTCGCAAGCATCTGGAGCCATTACTTTAGGGTACAGTTTTGGCATAAAAAACCAGAAGTCATCTTGATTTTGAACTTTTAAACTTTAGTTATCGCCCTAACATTTATTGTTATCTGGCACAGTTAAAGAAAAAAAGCAAATTAAAGCGAACACACCTGTGTACGTGAACGAAGAGTTGAAGTTCTGAATCCCACAGACTACGTTTCTTGCACACATTTTGACAATGCCGTACGCTGTGTTTCTGGTCATGGAAACTTTTCAACGGTACGTATCGTTGAGTGTTGCGAAGGTTATCGAGCAGAAAATATTCATAGCGGATGCAAATTTGGTATCTTTGCCGACTGTTTAGTAAAACCGTACTACCTCTTGCTTTAATACTACTCGAAATAAGAATTTTGTCTTAGAAAGCGATACAGCTGATATGTACGATCTGTTACCAAACAACACCGAATGTTTCAAGTCGTTTTCGGATGATGTCGTAACAAGCTCGACCATCTTTCTGCCTCCTGATGAACAGTGTTCTAAGGTGTTACTCATCTAAAAGTTTTAATTTAGCAGATTTATTGGCAATTAGTTTTATAAACTTTTTTAGAATGTTTTTTCTTTTTGACAAACAAACCTGAAGATTTCTTTGGCAGATAAGTTTGACAGCAATTACTGAATTCTTTCGTTTCATTCCCAATTTTCTTTTTTTTTGTTTTTCAGGAAAAACAGGAACTAGACATTAAAAATTATGCTATTAAAGGTGTTTATCATGATTATGATCTACTCAATGGTCAGAGACTTCGAACTAAATCCGGCGGCTACGTAATTGCTCAAGAAGCTTCTCCAGGCTCAAAAGTCTGCGACACAGCTCGTATTCTCCAAAAAAATAGTCGTTTTTTAAGCAACAGTTGATTAGTCTTAAATTTCTTAGAATTTTCAAAAAACAAAGAGCAGAATACGACTACGATTGTCTAAGTAAAACAATATCACCCTAATATCGCAAAATACCTGCATCATTTTTAAAAAAAGCTGGTTACAGTATGGCGCTGCTCTGAACTGTATAGAAATCAAAGAGGTGAATGCAAAAGACGGAATCCTGTTTAAACTGTCGAAAAAAATTGAAGCCAGCTACAAAACAGTAGAACAGTATTTTGCATCCGATTCTGGTTTCACCGTCTTCAGAAATCGTAAGTATTACCTAAAGCATTTTGCTTCGGTTTGTTGCTGCTTTCTGGGTTTACCTTCAAGG